CACACTTGGAATAAATGTGTTGGACATTCTGTGAACCCAGCAATTCCCTGCTGTAACTCTGTGGAGCTCCATGGGAGCAGCCAAACTGGGCTCCCAGCACAGCAAACGTTCTGCACAGTGGAATTGTCCCCAAGGCCTTTCTGCACCCCCTGAGCAAACAGTGCATAGGGTGACTTTGGCAGGCCCATGACCCCTTGCTGGCCAGTTTTTGGTCACTGAGAAGGTTCCCAGAGCCCCCAAAGATGTTGCTGGGTGCCTTCAGCATCCCTTTTCCATGGTGGAGCAATCAGGCTCCCACTATTGCTGTGGCTCGTTGTTATTTCTTCTCGTTATCACCTTTGCCTGGTTTTTGTGACAACTGAGACAGTGGAGCCAACCTTTGTGGTAACTGGGAGCACAAGATGAGCCCAATATCCCCGTGCTGAGGGGCTGGGAGTGCTGAGCAGATCTGAGTTGTCTGTGCTGATGTGGCCAGAGATGTTCTGAGTCATCCTTTAGTCATGCTGCGATTGTCACCCTGCCTGGGACTCTTTGACATCAATGCCAGGAGTCAGAGGAAGCACTGCCAGGGAGAAAGATGTGAGGGCAGAACTGTCAGGAAATAAATAAGTGGTTTAGGTGGGTTAAAACCAGGGGTTAAGCTCAGCTCTGGTGCTTTGCTCAGTGCCCACACAAGCAGTGACCTGTCCCTCGGCCGATGGGCAGTAACTCACGTGCCATCCTGCCTGGAACCCCTCTGGTCCTCACCCCCCTTGCCATCTGCCAGTCTCCCCTGTCCCACTGGAGCCACCCCCCCGTGCCTCAAGGTTTCTCTGCCCTCCCAGGTTGTAAGGAAGTTATTCCCATGTTTGAGTGACTTGGAATCATGGAATCATTAAGGCTGGGAAAGACCTCTAAGATCAACAAGTGCAACCACTAACCCAGCACTGCCAGGCCCACCCTAAACCACGTCCCTTCATCAGCCAGGGACTTCAGGGTGACTTGGGTTTGTAAATCTCATCTGCATTTGTAGCTGGGAGCAGGGAGAGGAGAACAGAGGCTGTCACTGGGCTGTCACTCCATCCTGGCTGGAGCTGTTCACCTGCTCGTGCCCCCTCTGTCCTCCCCAGGTGTTTTCCTGCCCGTGTTTCCTTCAGTGTTCCTTGCTAAAGTCCTCAGTGTGGGTTTGGGGGCAGAAGGTGGGGGAGGATGAGAACACCACACTCATCACACATCCCGGGGGGGTGGCAGGGCCAGGGGTGGCTGTTCTTGTTCAGGGCTTGCAGGATGGCTCCTGGGGAGGAGCAAGGGAAGGTGAGAGAGCACAGACAACAGACATGCTCCAGCCTGGTGTTTTCCTGGTGTTTTCCTCCCCTTCTCCCCACTCCTTAAATCCAGCTCAATGTTAGTTTGTGAATAAGTCACACGTGGCTCTGAGCTCTAAATATCGATGGCTTGGGAGCCAGGGAATGGCTGGAGCTGTGTCAGGGCAGGCTCAGGTTGGATCTCAGCCAAAGGTTCTTCCCCCAGAGGCTGGTTGGGCACTGCCCAGGCTCCCCAGGGCAGTGGGCACAGCCCCAAGGCTGCCAGAGCTCAGGGAGGGTTTGGCTGATCCTCTGGGGCACAGGGGGTGACTCTTGGGGCTGGGCCTGTGCAGGGCTGAGGGTTGGACTCCAGGATCCTTGGGGGTCCCTCCCAGCTCAGCACATCCTGGGATTCTGTGAGCCCAGGAGAGCAGCACATCTGTGGGCACAGCAGAGGAACGTGGGGACGTGTGTGGGGTGTGATTTGCCTCCAGAGCAGAGTGGAGAACAGATGCTCAGTGTGAGCATCACACATCAGCTGGTACCACCCTGGGCGTGACGAGGAGGAGGACGAGGACGAGGAAGGCGCCTTTGGACTGTGCCCAACACAAATTTCGAGCTGGGTGCTCCCAGGATCTGATGGGATGTGGGTATTGGGCACTACCTGGTGATGCCATGGCTGTGGAAAGCACCCCTGTGTGTTTTCTCATTGCAGACTTGGAACCTGTGTGTAGCTTTTTGTATTTCTCTCCTGGCAGTTAAACAGGGCAAAAGGGATTTTCAGACAAAATTGTGATTTCTCTTTCTTGATATTATGATGTTGCTGTCTCCTGAGATCCTGATGGCAGGAAGGTTTGTTTTCTGCAGCTTGAAATGAATGTTAAATTGATATTTCTACCACCTAAAGTGTTTTGGGGTCTGGCTTCCTTGCTAGTTAAGAGTTTTAATTGAAAAAGAAGTCAATAATGGGATAATGCATCTTTTAATGGCATCTTTCTTCTGAGGTTGTGGCAAATGCCATAATTAAGCTGATAATTAAAGCCTGTGAAGTTAGTTATGATCCCTGGCAAAGGCCCAGGGGAGTCAGGAGCAGGGTCTGCCTGTTCTGAGTCAGACAGGGAGTCCAGCAGCCCTGGCCCCTGCTTTCTCATGAGTCATGTGTGGGATGAAGTCCTGCCTGTCCTCTGGGGCGAAAGGAAGTCGTAGAAAACACAAACTGAACATGTCAGAGTTTGGGGGTTGCACGTGCACAGCCCAAATCTGTGCAGGGCCAGGTACTGGAGCCTCTTTGAAGTGCAAATTGTTTTCCCGCTAATCTGGAGAAATCAGCCTCCCAGTGCATCCCAGTTTGCATCCATGGGATGGATTCGTTCCTGGCTTTCCCACGGAGCGCTGGGTGCGAGGTCAATCACCCAGCCCCTCCTGTCACCTTGCATTCCCTTCCCCAGGTGATCTCCCTGCTGTGACTGATCCAATCCCGCTCGACGCCGTTCCCAAGGGGGAGCAGAGGGAACACACGTTTCCACAGCCCAGAAACGTTTTAAAGAATGGCTTTCCAAGGGATGGGGTGCCCGCCCCTTTCCTTTCCTGCTTAATAAGCTGCCCCAGAAATGCAGAAATGCTGCAAGGGCTCAGCCCTGCAAAGCCCTGAAGGTGTGAGCAGCTCCAGCAGCGAGATGGGATCTCTGGGCATGTTCCAGGATCAAAGGCACCACGAATCCCTGCTGGGCTTCTTCCAAGGGCTCAGCCCCAGGATATTCCCTGCAGGCAGAGCCCCCCCTGACTGGAGATCACTATCCTGGCAAACAGTCCTTTGACTCTGCTTATTTTCTGGGAAGATAAGGAGGGGTTTCAGTGGGTGCCTCTGCTCGGATCAAGCACCTGAGAGGTGATAAAGAGGACAGACTGTGGTGCACGAGGGGCTGCAGGGGCTGCAGGCAGGGGGGGGCATTTTAACAGCAGCCCTGCCATTGATCTGCTTCAGTCTGATGCTTGAAGACACTTCTCCCACCTGATGATTTAATCTGTTTTAATCTGATGGTTTAAGACACTTCTCCCACCTGATGATTTTGCGACAGCAGCTGCCTGGAGTGGTGGGTGCAGTCGGGTCGGGTGGTAAACGTGAATAAAACACAACTGCAGCTCTTGCAGTTGCTTGATTCTGTTTCCAGACTTGGAAAAGGGCAAATATATCCACTCACTCAATAACGTGTAGGCAGGTGTGCCCATGGACTGAGAGATTTCAGAAGATGAAATACTTGCAGAAGGTCTAGACATTGTTGAGACAAACTGGTATTTTTAAGAGCCTTCGGCAGGCAGGAATATCTCCTTTTTTGCCATTTTCATTTTCGTGGCAGAAGTTCTTGGAGAGAAAAGTAACCTTGGATACAATTCCCTCTCCAAACAGCTCCGTGCCTGGTTTGGAGCACATGCAGGGGCTCAGGGCTGCAGCAGCTCAGCTCATTAGTGGCAGGAGCAGTCTCCTCTCCCTGCTAAAGGCACTGCCTGCCGAGCACTCCGGGCTTCCCAGAGCTCCTGGAAAGCTGGAATGGAATGCCTTGTGGATTTGCAATAGTCTGGCTCCCTGCTCTGTGTGGACTCCCTCCCTCTGGAGGATGGGGCTGGCCCTGTAAAAGTTTTGCAGAGACACGTTTGGCAGCCGGGAGGGAAGAGCCCTGGACGTGCTGCTGCCTCCTGTCCTCCTGCCAGAGGGGCTTTTGGAGAAGGGATTGGCCTGGAGACTCTCCAGAGCTGGGAATGACCTGTTCAACCCGAGGCTGGTCCT